ACTATTTTGTAAAAATAAAAATATCTATAAGAACACCGGATTATATATCTTACTGTTCTTTCTTTATATATATATATATATATATATATAAAGTGAAGACGTTATAGTAGTTCTAACGAGAGAAAAAATGTATATATTAAAAAGAAAGATACCGCCAACGTTTTTGATTGTAATCTGGATTTTTTAAAAAAAATATATTATGCTTTATTTTCCATAGTTTTGCTACACGGGTTTCCGGTCTTGTGACCTTCATCAGGCCAAGATTAGATATTTCCACATATTATTAAAAGGAATTAATTTTTCTCATGTTTTTCGATGTTAAATATTCTCGATATTAGACATTCTCTTTTTTTGTGTGTTAGTGACCCAAATGTCTTTCTTGAACTGGCAGTGAAAGAATTCTGCGTGAAGGGTAATAAAACAATTAAGACTGGTTCGAGAAAGAGGGAGGAAGATAACTATATTCTTATCTTTTAATGACCCATGTGTGTTCTTGGATCTGTTTCCATTTCTCTGTGTTTTTGTCAGCATGCGTACGCATACGTATATTGCCCCTCATAAACATATTATAAGGAATTAGTATACACATATGTACACATATGTATATACATACGCACACACATACATGATGCACATACATACACACACACACACACTTCCTATATTCTGTAGGGCTCGCGTGTGTATCCCTGGGCAGTTTTGTTCTTGTTAACATGTGTATTTATATACCAGTACGCGCATGTACATGCGCACTCTCTCTCTATATATATACATACTGTCTTATTATATATATGTGTGTGCGTGTGTGTGTAGGTATATATATATATATATATATATATATATATATATATAATAAACAATAAAATACAAAATCAGCTCATATGGGGAATACTCTATTTCGGCAGATGAAGATATCGGTCGTTTGTCTTATCAACCCCGGTGTGGAATGAGTTCGTGTCAGAAATGGAAATTTAACTGTGAAGGCTAAAAAAAAATGGTCGAAAAAAACTCAGACAGAATTTATTCATTTTAGTGTTTCAGTCAGGCGAAAATCACAAGACAGGAGTCAGGGGAGGGCGGAAGGTATGTGTCTTAAAAGAAAGAAGTTTTATAAAATTAAACGGTAATATTAACCATATCACTTTAACCTGGGGTTATATGAAGAATGAATATTCATTTGAAATAAAAAAAAAAAAGGTATAAATGGAGTTTAAAAATAAACTTAAAATATATAGAGAAAAGGATGTAACGGATTAATGAAAAGAATGTTGGGAAGATCTTAAAGGAGGGGAAAGTTTATAAATTATAATTAATATAGTGTAAAGAGTTTAAAGAGGGAGAAATATAGAAATTAGAATCAGTTATGCATTCGCCATTTGAAGAGTTATTATGGAAATATGAGAGCTAATTAAGTTACCCCTATATTATGGCAATATCAATGTTTAAAATAAATTATATTTTATAATTATATTTTATACACTCACGCACACAAACATATATATCTATATCTATCTATATATATCTATCTATCTATCTATATATATATATATATATATATATATATATATATATATATATATATATATATGCGTATATTTCTATATTTCGGCTGCATATTTTCATTAAGACAGATTTCGTTGAATAATTGTGACATAAAATCAATTATGAATACTCTACAGGATTTTAAGATGTGTACAATAGATAATTCTAAACGTCAAGTTATTGCATGAATAGTTCCTTTCCTTTAGTTTTTCCACTACTCATTCTGCTAAAATCTTATCACAACATGCCAAGTTGCCTCCCTTTAAGTGGTGTCTGCTAAAGATGCCATTACACATCATTCCAAACTCCACAAAATAGAAATTTTAATTTTCAGTTGTTCACAATTCTTTTCCTTCACAACCATAAACACTACAACACTTACCCTATAATTAATAATAACCTAATGATAACATTAAGCTATGTCGAAAGTAGTCGGATAATAAATTATAATATGAATCAACACGGCGTTTTCCTCACGTCTTTCAATAATCTCACAAAAAAGCTTAACTGTAAATATGAAAGGATCCTATTGATCCTCTCATTTTTATGGCAGAAATATAGTTTTAAGGTATGCTATATTATGGGATAAAGAGCTCAATATCAGAGACAGAGCGTATGTAAATATAAAAGTCAACACTCACAGGCGATAGACTGTTTAATGCCTAACGCAATCATAAGGCCACATGCGTTGTTTTTCTCGACTGTTTATATATACAGGTCGCTAATGCATTGTGAATATATATATATATATGATTTTTGCTGTGTCTTTAAAACCTAGTAATTTTAAAAGTTACTCCAAAAATCGCTTGAGGATAAAATGGAAGTAATGTCTTTAATTTAATTACAAAATTAAATTGGAAGCTTTCAGCTTCCATTTTTGAAACATGGTTAGAACTGTGTAACGATAAAAAACATTTTAAATCAATTAATTTATAATATATATATATATATGTGTGTGTGTGTGGGTGTGCGCGCGCCCTTGTGTGTGTGTGTGTGTGTGTGTGTGTGTGTGTGTGTGTGTGTGTATAAAATATAATTTATTATAAACATTATGATACTACGTCGATGGCCTGAACGTTTGAGAAATCTTATTAAATAAAATGTCACCTCCACTTTCGGTGACGAACAAATAAAAGGCAAATTAGTACCTTGCTTAATTAAAACGCTTTTCGTAGAGGGCGCATTTTCTTTAATAAAATTCCTCGAATGTTCAGGCCTTGTGCACAAAAGAAAATAATGTTTAAAATAAACTGCGCGTCTACACAAATATGGGTATCCACTAAAAATAACGTTTCAACTAATAACAAATATGTGGTATATTTAAAGCCAGCTGAGATATAAGCGAAAACCAAAAATAGTTGGAAGCAAAATAAGATTGTCTAGGTTGGCCATTTAGACCCAACGTCGCGAAAACATTTTTAAAAATTCAATTTTAAGCGTCTCTGCCTTTTCACTGTTTCTCTTGATGTATAACTGATATTTTCTTATATTTCGTCTCCTTCCCTGACAAAAATATGATTTTATATAAAAATATGTCTTTAATAAATAAATTGTCGGACCTTGTCCATTTCTTAATATACATATATATATATATATATATAATAGCGAGCATAAAGATCAGAACAATGTAAAGAAAAAATCTAAATGTGAAATAACCTTTTTATTTTAAAGCTTCATAGAACATTTTATCAAGGAAAAATAAGGATATAAAGGTAAATTATATAATTCCAAAATATAAATCTCAATTTAGTAAGTATCCGAATGTGTTTGTATTTACTTAAAACCTCAGCATCCACTGAGACAGATTTTAACAGGGGACCCGAGTGTCTTCGCTCGGGCCGCTGGTCTTAGCTTGTCATAGTTTGTCCAAACTGGTCAGAGCTGGACTAAGCTAGTTGTAGTTGGTTTTTGCTGGTCCAAGCTAGCTGGTCAGAGCCGGTTCAAGCTAGCTGGTCAGAGCCGGTTCAAGCTAGTCATAGCTGTTATACTACCAGCGCAGGGACGGATCCCTGTGATCGGCAATTATCCGAATGTGTATACCCCTCGAGGGAGGGGTTTACGATATTTATTTGCACTATAGTACAAAATGTGTCACAAGGCCAAAATGTGCATTGGGGAAAAGGACGGTCATCATCTCTCTTAACTTTAAACTTTGCTAACCCCAAACACTGACCCAAACATACCACAATATTCCTAACACCAAAACAACGCATTCTTACTTACCTTTCTTACTACGTTCACCATAATACCTCATTGTCTCTATGAAAATACTAAATAGTCCCCATATGAACAATTCGTTATCTGTCTGGCGGAATAAAACAATAATTTAAAAAATCCCCAATGAATATGTACAATATGCAACAAAGGAGGGGTTTACTCTAGGACGAGATGGGACACAAGGTCTATTTTTAGGTGAGGGCCCGAGCGCGTACGCCCGAGACAGGAACAAAAATTGCCCTCAGCCCCCGCAATCGTCGGTTGCGCGGGAATCGATGCGAGCACCGATCCCTCCCTCTGGTGCAATGGGAGGTCGCGGCCTCGGGCAGCTGTTCCCCAGGGATGGGCACCTCTTCAGTATAACTTTCTCAATTGTCTTTCTGTCCTTTTACAGAGAAGCCCATGAACGCACTCTTCCCAAAGACAGAGACGCAACTGAGAGATGATAAGTAGACGCGAACTTACTCAAAAACGAGTAAGAGGAGCGTTTACACGGTATTTACTTGACCCCCACGAGGTCAGGTTGTGACACAAGGTCGGTTAATGTGGGGAGCCCGAGTGCGTACACCCGGGCAAGGAACAAAAATTCCCCGAGCCCCCGCACCGATCCTTCTCTCTATTGCAATTAGAAGGCGCGGCCTCGGGCAGCTGTTCCCCAGGGCCAGGCACCTCTCAGTATAATTTCCCTCAGTTGCGACTCTGTCCTTTGGCGGAGTCGCCCCTGAGTGCACTCTGTCCAAGGAAAAAGACGCAACTGAGAGATGATAAAGAAACGTGTTAGAAACTTCTACAAAGAGGAATTTATTTACCGGCCTGAATGTCGAAGAAATTTTCATAGAAAATAATCGTCCTCCGACAGGAATCGAACCTGTATCCTATACGGAACCGTCATATAACCTGACGTGCCTTTAACTTCAGGCTGGTAAATGTTGTTAATACTGTTTATTATAAACGGAGCATTTACTTAAATATTTGTACCCATAAAAAGAACGTATAAACATAAAAAATGTATTATATATATATATATATATATATATATATATATATATATATATGCATGCTTGGGGACGCATTTTCTGTTAGTGTCAATGTTTTTAAGTACAGGATTAACGAGGATTAAGATTGCTGATTTTCAATGCAACTTCTCTGCAAGAGAAAAGCTGAGTGAAAAGCTACATGTATCTCTTTGGCAAATTTTTTGTCTATGTACAGTCACAAGTCTTCCCACCTGCACGATTCTGATGCCAAATCGGATTAAACGTTTTACTAAATGGTCTAATGTCATCATCCCTAGATACAATGCAGGTGAGAATACTTCAGGCGAATGGAATTTATCTAAATGACATGATAACTTTCGTCCTAGAAAGAACATGTATTTAATTATGTATCGCATTTTCTTTCTAAACATTCGATGGAAACAGGGATGTCATCCATCATCTTGCTGCATCTTTTTTTGGATGATTTCAAATAGTGCCATAATCTACCTTATATAAGTTATAAAGTCTATCTATCTATCTATCTATCTATCTATCTATCTATCTATCTTAGTACAGGATTGGCAGGTAAGTCTGATCATTTTATTGTTTAAATTGCTAACTCTAACCGTAAGTTCTATTCTAATAGTTTCTTCTCTCGCACTTCTCTACTGAGGAAATCACTTCCAGCTTTATGTTCTCCTGTCAAATTTAAGCCTCAGATATTTAAATACAACGTCAGGCATCAGCATCAGTTTCCTTGAATCCTGCTCATTTTATTGTCCTTTCTCCTCAATAACATTTTCTCAGTTGCCTTCACTCTCAGTAACCGCTTCATTTTTACTGGCTTTATTGTCTTGCTGAAATTAAATGATTTTAGAAAATCTATCTATCTATCTATCTATCTATCTATCTATCTATCTATCTATCTATCTATCCCATTCTGTTAATATCCTATCTGTATATATATTTCATTCTGTTAATGTTGATCCACCTATTTCATTCGTAATATCTATCTATCTATCTATCTATCTATCTATCTATCTATCTATCTATCTATCTCTTTCATTCTCTTCATATATATCTAATTCTGTTCATATCTATCGCATTCTGTTAACATCTCTTTCTGTTCATATATATCTATATATAATTCTATTTATATCTATGTTATTATGTTCATTTCTCTCTCTCTCTCTCTCTCTCTCACACACACATATATATATATATATATAGAGAGAGAGAGAGAGAGAAAGAAAGATTTAATTTTGCTCATATCTATCTATATCTCATTCTGTTCATTATTTGTCTGTCTGTCTGTCTGTCTGTCTGTCTATCTATCTATCTGCCTCGTTCTGTTCATATATATATCTAATTCTGTTCATATCTATCTCATTCTGCTAACATCTATCTCATTCTCTTCATACATATATATATAATTCTATTTATATCTATCTTATTGTGTTCATTTCTCTCTCTCACACTCTCTTTTCTCTCTCTGTCTCTTTCTTTTTCTCTCTCTTTTATATATATATATATATATATATATATATATATATATATATATATATATAATTTTGCTCATATCTATATCTCATTCTATTCATTATTTGTCGGTCTGTCTATCTATCTATTTTTATAGCCATGCAAGGCTATAGAAACCAGTCTGTCTTGCTAATTACCAATAGCTGGTGGGAGAAGAAGAGGATTCATATATTTCCCAAGGGTATTAGCACGTAAGTCAATATAATAGATCCTTGACTTGCTCCTATTTTTGAGAAGATTGGATAAACGTCCATTACTCATCAATGATTACATCCTTATCGAGCAATTTCGATAAATAAGCTGTTGCGCATTTTGTTAGTCTTAACGGAGCCAATCATCTGCTTTCCTCGTCTGTCAGGTCATTATATCGTTTCGGCGCCTATTCTTTGCATGTTCATGGTCAGGTTATGGTTCCGCGAAATGGGCGACGACCCAAATATGAAGATATTAGCTAGAGGAATTTATAGGGTTTTTTTTAAATTATTTCACACCAATCAAGGCGGGAATGCCTCTAGTACACAGGCGGCCTCACAGAGTGAAAATGAGAAGAAAGACTGTGTATAGGGAATTGTTGAAAGGATAAAAGATTAACGGGGTTCAAGAAAATAGAAGATGGCGATTGACGTTGCATTTACTAGAAGGCCAAGTTCCTCAAACAATTCTTTTAGGTCTGGTTTGAGATGTAGTATTTCCTAGCGACTTTTGATTATTTGGGATTGTGGAGGTAGAGTTGGATCGAAAGTGGTTACTAGAGGGATGCGACTGTGTTTATTTTTAATCTTGTATATTAGGGTGTCTTCTCTAGGTGTGGAAATTGCTTTATTTGTTCCCTGATTAGGTGTTGTTTATAGCCACGTATTGTGAATTGATGCTCCAGATTTTGAATGGGATTATTTAGTTCTTTGTTTGAACATATCCTTCTGGGTCTAAGTGCTTGTGAATAGGGAAGGTTCTCTTTGAGGTGTTTAGGGTGGGAAGACTTAAAGTGTAGATAGTTGTGGGTGTCATTGATTTTAGTGTGTCGTGTCGTTTTTAGTTTTCTGTTTTCATTTATGTAAATGCATGCGTCTAAAAATGTTACCGATGTTGTGGATTTTTCATAGTCAAACTTAATTGAGTCGTGCACTGTTTTTAGGGTTATGAGGAATTGCATAAGTTTGTCATCACTGCCCGTGTATACAAAGAATATATCATCGATATATCTTGCATAGAATACGCAGTTGCTACTGATGAGGGGATAGATATGGGTCTCCTCAAATTTTCCCATGAAGATTGTAGCATATGATGTAGCTGCAATGGTGCCCATGGCACAGCCTCTTACTTGCAGGTAGTGTGCTCCATTGAAGTTGAAAGTATTTAATCTAAGAATATACTCTATGAGCATTATGATAACTTCTGTGTGTGGGGGGTCTTGCTTTCTTCTTTTAGTAAGTGCTTCCTTAAGTGCGGTTCGTTTTTGATGTGTTTAATGCTTGAATAAAGTGATCTTCCGTCCATAGTCACTAGTTTAGCATTCCCTGGCATTGTTTGTATGTGATTAATTTTGTTTAATTGCTCTGTTGTGTCTCTGATGTAGGATTTTATTTCCTTAGTAAATTGTAGTTATCAGGGAAGCAAGTAAAAGAAAGGGAGTTTCACAGGAGGGAAGTGCAAGAAAAGAAACTGCTGGAGTAGAAGTGGCGGTTGCATTTAACTATTTCAACAGTAAAAGGGTGGGACCTAAATGCCAATCTAGTAGTACACTTAAATTCATGTAGTCGGGGCACCAGGGAAAAAAAGGCTCGTCAGAGCAGATGCCATGAAAATAACTGTAGAAAAGACAGAGGGAAGCCACATCACATCGGTGAGAAAGTGACTGAAGTCGAGATGACAAGTCAGGATCAATTATATAACAGTTCCTTCATTGAATGTTGTCAAGAACCTCGTGATGACTAGCAGGATCATCTGACCAGATATGACGGCAGTAATCAATGCCCGGGTGAATGGTAGATTTATAAATGTGCAAGATGGACACTGACACGATACAGTGACCCAAATTTGCTGATGGCGGGCAGGAAAGTTTCTTTATCGTGGGGAAATGAGAGCTGTTTCGTTTTGGAGGCATTCAGATTTAAAAGCCATTTCCTGCCTCAATTAACCAACGACTGGTGGTCTTTTACACGAGCAGAAGCCAGGTTAACTTTGTCAGCTCTGACGGGTTCCCCATTGAGACAAGAGTAAATGATAGTGTTCATCTGCATAAATGCCTACTTGGGAACCGATACCATCAGGAAGATCATTGATGAAGATCAGAATCCGTGTAGGACCCAGGATGTAATCTTTGGTGACTCCCCACTTCGTGTGAAATGATCTCTAAGTGAGTCAGTTCAAAACTACCTTCATTTCACGATTTGATAAGAACGACTTGATTAAATCAAACAATCGTCCTGTAACGCCGTAGACCTGGAGCTTATGAACAATCCAGAGTGCTAAACTGTCAAACGCATTTGCGATATTTAGAGCCACAGCTCGATCTTCGCCGTTATTATCAATATCTTGGTAATCTTATTCAGGGATGGTCATAGCACATGGTCACAGAACGAGTCCCAATCTGCTGGTTGATAACGGAAATATATTCTGTTGGTAGGAGGTTCTTGGCTGGTGGGGGAGCGAAAGGAAATGTCAACAGATACTACGATATGATCAGAGTTACTATATATAGCTTGATATAATTATTCAGTATTATAGCTTGATCTATAGGTTTATATACTTATTCAGTGATGGTCTTTAACACATCAGCAGTAGACGTGGCAAAACGGAAGCCATATTGTTTGCCAGGGAGTAGGTCGTGAGAGTTAAGATGCTTAACCACTTCAGTATTGATTAAAGCCTCGAATTCATTTTGCGAAAAAAGGAAAAAAAGAAAAAAAAAACTTAAAGAAACTTAAAGAAAAAACTAAACGAAAAAAAATGTTAATGAAAGAAAAGTGAATAAAATAAAGAAAAGTAAATAATAAAGAAAAACTTAGAAAGGAACTTTTTTTTAATTACAAACTGAAAAAAATATCAGCTTGCAAAGAATAATAAAAATATAGGGAAAAGAGCAAAAAGCAATAAGGAAGAAAGAGTGCTTGATTTGTTTTTTACGGATTATCAACCTTTTGCGGGTCATTTAAATCCATAAAATATTTTTTGATTGAAAGAATTGTTTTTCTACAGATAATGATGATACACGGACATAAGTCCTACTTAGCTGGGGGAGAAGAGGTGGATCCATACCTTTCCCAAAGGTATTTGAACGTAGGTGAATATAACAAACTCGACTGGAATTGGATTTCAGTTCTCTGGTTTCTTATTCTGAGCCGTTATCCCTTACACCAGACGTACACTTAAGATTACAGCACCTGGTATCCCCAACCTGATATGGACGTAAGCCAGCATGAAAAACTGAATAAAATTTCTTCGACAAAAAAGAAGACGAAAGAAAAAAATAAAGAAAGAAAGCAAGAAAGAAAGAAAGAAAACGAAAGAAAGAAAGAAAGCAAGAAAGAAAGAAAACGAAAGAAAGAAAGAAAGAAAAGAAAGAAAGAAAGAAAGAAAGAAAGAAAACGAAAGAAAGAAAGAAAGAAAGAAAACGAAAGAAAGCAAGAAAGAAAGAAAACGAAAGAAAGAAAGAAAGAAAGCAAGAAAGAAAGAAAGAAAGAAAAAGAAAGAAAGAAAGCAAGAAAGAAAGAAAGAAAACGAAA